TATTGGGTAAGCATGACTAGTTTAAAAATGTAAAGTCTTCTCTACTTGTATGACAGTGATATGTTCCACATTTAAGGAAGTGTTCTTTCAGTTAAGGATCTTATCGTGCCTTGCTGTGAAAATATGGTTGCAATTTAGTAAAAACCTATATGTTAAAGAAGTTTATCCATGTGAACAAAATACTAGTGAGTAACTAATGAGAATATAGAAATTTTCATATAAATAATGATTTGTGTACTATCTAAAATACAGATTAAAATTTTCTCCCAGTAAGAATTAATTGATAGATATCACATGTTAAAAGCAGCCACCCGAGTGTGTAGAAATTAAATAAAACTTCTTAGTAATTTAGCTCCAGGCTATGGATAAGACACATTTATTAGGTTAACTTGTAGTTTGATTAAATCCAAATTCTTCCTGAAGAATACAAATACTGATTCTGTGTATTAGGCAAGTAGCAAATTAGAAAGCATTAGAGGTTTCTTATTGAATCCATTGCCTATATGAGTGTTTTAAAGAGCTATGTAAGACCTATATAAGAATATTTGGGTACTAAAACTAGAAAAATAAATCTTTAATAATATTGAATAACCTGGAAATTTGTGAAATATGGGGAAGAGATAATAGGGTTTGAGACCGCTGGAGGACCATAGACATACAAGCATATTTGTATTTTCAGTGTGTTTCCTTATTAACCTCTAGCAGTTTGGATGCATTCCCATTTGCAAACTGAAAGCAATTTGTGTAGGGGAGGGAAGGGGATGTCAAGGTTAGATGATGATGAATCATTTGAAACTTGCCCCTTCTTTTCCTTGATTGCTCTTCTTTTTGATCAAACACAGCAAACTCCTGGGAGAATGCTGTTTTATGCACCTTACATTTGGGGAGAAAATCATAGAGAATATAATTTTTTGGAAAGCATGAATCATGTAATATTTAGTATTTATTCTGATGATAAAATAGTAGGATTAAAGTGGCACAGAAAGGAAAGAACTTAGGAAAAAAGATGACATGGCAAACAAGGGTGAAGCTCAGCTATGGCATTATCTGGAAGGATAATGTGTTACTTTACTTTTCACCAAAATCTCCTTTTAAGTGTTCAAACTCTTGGCGGCTGTTGGCCGTCCCTCCGTATTGATAGGCGTGCTCGATAGCTCTGGGGCTGTTGGAAAGCTGGCAGTGAGAGTCTCTCGGAGCATTTCGCTCCAGGAATTTCAGGCCAACAGGATCCCATGAAGGTGCATCTTTACTTTTCCCTCCCTGTAAAAATGGGAAATAAATCAAATTTAGTGACATACTGACAGCAGAAATTGACTTATGATGTCCTCACCATTAATAACAATAAAAAATAATGAAGCGTATATTATTCGTGCATTCTTCCATTCATGGAATATTAGGCACCTCTCTTCCTTCCCACTGCCGGCATAAGCAAATGACAGCAGTAGCTGCAGCAGTAACAACAACAGCACAGCCTGTTAACAAACCCCAAATTCTAGTCCGTGTAGTAAAGCAGAGTTAAACTGAAGCTTTAGAGATAACTGCTCTGTCATTTAAACTAAGTGCACATCTTAAACAGTAGTGAAAAATAGAAAAGTTGGCAATAAAATAACCCTGAGAAAATCAATCAACAAAACTCATGTAGACAATACTACTTTAAAACACAGATTATTATTTATAGATACTGGGTAAAAAGTTAACATACAGCAACATCTTAAAAATATTTCAGAATATTCTTGGAGGTGGGATTTGTAGCAATTGTTTTTTTTTTTTGTCTTTTTGTCTTTTTTTCGTGACCGGCAACGGATCGCAACCCTCAGTGTCGCGCCCGTACCGGACCGGGACCGGCAACGGGATCGCAACCCTCGGTGTTGCCCCCGCTCCTTGCTCAGCCAGTGAGTGGCCGGTCTGTATGTGGGATCCAAACCCTTGGCGGGAGCGCTGTCGCACTTCCCAAGCGGCGCACTATAGCAGTGCGCCACCGGGCCGGCCCCTGTAGCAATTGTTTTTATTGTTTAACAACTTTACATAGGTATGACTCACAGACATCACAATTGACCTATTTTAAAGTGTCTAAACTCAGTGGTTTTTAATATATTCCTAGAGCTATACATCCATCACCAAAATTTTAGAACATTTTCATCATCCAGGAAAAAAGCTCAGTACTCATTAGCAGTCACTATTTCCCTTCTCTCCACACCCTTGCCAGCATTTGTTATTCACCGCCTTTTTGATTATAGCCAGTATAACTGGAGTGAGGTGGTATCTCAGTATAGTTTTAATTTGCATTTTCCCGATGACTAGTGATGTTGAGCATTTTTTCATGTACCCATTGGCAACTTGTATGTCTTCCTTTGAAAAATGTTTATTCAGCTCCTTTGCCCATTTTTTAATTGGGTTATTTGTTTTTTTACTGTGCAGTTGTTTGAGTTCCTTGTTTATTATGGATATTAATCCCTTGTCAAATGCATAGTTAGCAAAATTTTTTTCCCACTCTGTAGGTTGTTTCTTCACTCTATCGATTGTTTCCTTTGCTCTGCAGAAGCTTTTTAGTTTGATATAGTCCCATTTGTTTATTTTTTCTTTTACTGCTTGTACCTTCAGGCTCATGTTCATAAAGTCTGTGCCCAGACCTAGTTCCTGAAGTGTTTCATCTATATAACTGAAAATCGATCTGGAGAAATAGGTATATAAATAGCAATTGGGAAACAGGTTGATGCCGATAGAAAGGGCTTTAGATGACTTGCTCGCATTTGAGTTTTGATTTTTAGGTGATGAGGAGCCACACAGGTTTTAAAAAGCAGGGAGTGGCCTATTTGACCCACTAAGGAAGATAGCTTGGAACAAAGGAAGGGCTGATAGGAGAGAAAATATTTGGCAGCAGGGAAGACTGGAGAACACAGCAAGAGCCAGTATGAGAGAGAGGATTATGGAATGAACAGACACATTTAGTCCCTCCCCTCCCAAATCCCTACTGAAATATCAGAAGAACTATACACATAAAAAATAAATCCATATCAGTCATGAAAATCTAGGAGGGTTTCTACTAGAACAAAGCAGTGTGGAATTTCTGGAACATATAATGTAGATTGGAACAGATTGACAATAAAACCCTTAATCTTGTATGGGCAAAAGACAGTATCTCCAAGAAAGTCAGTATTCCAGCCAAATCCCAGAATTACCCTCTAAATCTAGATGTGATGGGCAGGGGGCAGGTAAATTAAAGGGCAGACCATCTGTACCATTGTCCTGCTCTCGGGGCAGCAGCTTTTACAGTTGGGTTCTGGCAATGGAGACACACAATGGTGGTTAGGTTGGAGAAAGAGAGATGGGAGCTCATAGACTCATATATCCTAAAGGAAAGCCCACTTCGTTCTACCAACCCCTCTTCCTTTCCTCACATAGTCTTCAGGACTTGGAATCTGACTCAGAGCCAAAGAAGCAAGGTTTCTCTCTTGGCTAGAGGAAATTCACCTACTTATCAATAATTTTTGGTTCAAGCCCTCATTTATGAATAATGGCTGTAGCTTCAAGCCATGGGTGGGCAGAATAGGCAGGAGTGAGGCTGCAGGGAGAGACTCATTTCCTCTAATATGTCTTGGGGAACTTCCCCCAGACCCATACTGTATTCCAGTCCTGGTGGAGTAACATGCCTCATAATAGGAGACATGATCACCTTTGTCTCACTGAGAGGCTCAGCTGGAAATGCTTTACACAGGGCCTGGAGGGTGGGGGTGAGAGAACGTGGGGTATCAGGAATTTCCCCAACTCTGGATGCTCCCTGTTCTCTCCATTGCAATAGACAGGATCTTGCTCTTTTTCAATCAATGCATCCACTTAGCTATGGGAAGAGACAACAGTGAATTAGACACCGAGGGCTCAGCAAAGCAGGGCCATTTGGACCATGACAATCTCAATTTGCCATTCCTGCCTTTCTCTGCATCAAGGTGGAAATACACAGACTAGGATCTGTCTCTTGTCTGCTGCAAAAATTAAACTCTGTATCTTTAAAGATAGCAACCAAATACTGTAAATTCTCTGTGGATATATGTCGTGAATAATAATAATAATGACAAATTATAACTTAATTGTTTCACTACCATGCAACATACTCAGTTTTTCTATCCTAAAATGGGTATGCGTGTGGCGATTCTCACTGAACCCCACTAGACTTCAACTTTACCAAGGTAAGTTTTTCCTCGGAAGGCCTATTAGTTGTCATCCCACTGGTGGTACCAATTTCAATTTAGCAAAATTTGTTTGTGTCAGAAAACAGCCAAGCTAGTTGAGCTACTGAAGAAAAAAATGGCAATGTGTTGTAAGGATATAAAAGTATTTTACACAATCTAAGAAAAGATAGTATAGTGCAGTCCCACCACAGGCCAGAATCAGGAATGGGAAAACTAGAACGAATCAGGACACTCCCTTTTTGGGGGTTTCTGGTATCTCAGCTTTGTTCCTCAGAGCATCTGCTTTCATTCTTCTTTCTCTGCATGACAAATTTCTGCCTTTGTTTTTTTTTATGTAGCAGCTTTCTTTCTCTGTGCATGATTAACATAGAGCTCATAGGTTTACATGTCTTCTATTCAATGACCAGGTCGGGCTAGTCTCTCTGGATTCTAAGTTTCTAAGGAATCTGATAGACCAGCTTCGTGCATGTGATCTACCCTGGTCCAATCATCTAGTGTAAATCCAGGGAGGTGAGGTCACACATCTAATACACAGGGCCTGCCTGGTGGGTAGGGCATCAGTTCTAGAGAATGGTTGGTCAGATACTCCAGAATGATGTCTATCACAGCACATAAAATGTTCAGTATTACATTAAACACCAAATGAGAAACTATTTTCTCAATTAAATCTGAAACATAAAATTACAAAAAAACTTAAGGCTGGAACATAGGTGGTAAGACACATATTCTCAAATACCCATGAGGAAATATAAATCAATGTTACCTTTCTGGAAAGTAATTTGCCTTGGTCAAGTAATTCTGTCTCTAGGAATCTATGCTACAGATTAATTCAGCAATACACTCAATGGTTTATGTACAAGGGTCTTTACCCATAAAAGGGGAAAACTGGAAACAATAGAGGCTATAAACAATTAAATGAATTATAATGCATGAAATGAAATATTAGAGAGTGATTGTG